CCCCCCGCTTGACAACTCACTGAAAGTGCTGGATTTATGCACCAATTTACCAGCTCGCGCGTGCAATGCGCAGCTACTTACCCCCCAATCATCGGTGAACGAAACTGTGGCAGCTACAACCAGTGCACGACCAGTACGCGGTTATTACAGCTGATAATGATGATGGTGATTAGATCCGCACGTAACAGGAGGGTCTCGGTATTCTGTCATAGGATTATTTGTGCAGATATTAGCTGAGTTTAAACTGACGCCTTAAAGAGGCCTTTGGTAACCGTATACTGGATTGATACTAGACCATTATCATTACGCCGTCCCTCCACATGAGACTTCAAGCTCGCTTGATCAATACTTCAGAGTGTAACAATTCTAGTGGTATTACATTATGGATGAATTTCAAAGGGATGCATGTTTTTTCCTCCACATACTTGGTTTAAGTGGCCATTGTTGTGTGCAAGAACATTATGAGGGGCGGCCGAAATACACTAGATATCATAGTGTTATTTCTCCAAAGAAAGGATAGAGGTTGATTGGAATGCCAGAAAGCATATTTTGCCACCTGGTAGAACGAAAGAAAAAGGGTCGATGCAAACGAACAATAGGCGTCCAACAAAGTAAACTCCGTTTGAACCCTGACAGCAGTTTTGAATTAAGACTACAGACTAAAAATGGGGATATCAAAAACGTCTGCAAAAAACTCACTAGGACTCAACAACATGATGCAACTAATCGACGGTGGTGACAGTTACACCACATACCAATTCGGAAAACGGTCAGAGAACCTGTATTCTTCATTTATCCTACAACAAGGGGCAAAAACTCGCTAGTGATACAGGATGAAAACTATTTGATTATAAATTATTGTTGTCATCGATCGCCTTTTGTATTGTCTGAGGTATAAAGTATTGATATGGATAGGGTATTTTAGAGCTACTGTAGGTTTACAAAGCGAACGTACTGACCGAAAGGTTTGTAATCCAAACCCAGCTCCGGCTTTTCGACTGCTCTTGTATAGAGCTGAACAACCTGCCGTTACCTCAGCCCTTGCGATTCCCCCGGGGTGGTATGACAGCTACACACTAAAACCGTGTTACAGCCAAACTACAAGGCACTCTATGGACATGTCATTTGTTTGCATATGTGCCACAGGCATCGATAAGTGTTGAGGAAATTCATGCGGGAAACTTTCCCTTGGATAACGAGTAACATTCATAGCAACAGTGAATCCAATTAAATAACTAGCAAACTTCAAACATAAGCTTTTTGTACTGACCACAGTAATGATAGTTTTATGAATGCTTCAGGCTACACTATTTTCCTGGTTTTTGGATTTTCACTGTCTCCGAAGGACCAAGTACTCAAACGTCTATGCTTTCGTTTAGAGAAATTCCGATGCGTAATCATAAATAACTTTTTTACGTGCACCGTGAGATTCCCTTCACGTGCCCCAAAATAAGCATCTTTTGAAAAAGACAGATACTGAATGTAGGTGACTGCAGGAGACACTGCATACCATAATATTGTAGGCTAGAATTCTATGCCTTTGGGCTATTATCCCATGCTTCATGATGTTTGGTAGCTAATACCGCAGTACGGTTGTTTCCTTTGTTGTGAGCTGCCCCAGTTAGGAGGCCAATACATGAATTAAAATAATAACTAAGCAACTCACTACGCTGCTCCCGTGCACAGCAAGTTCATGAATGTAAGTAAAGCACACAAGAGAGCAACATTTTCGAGATTATATCTAATGGAAACCAGTGCAACTAGGGCTTCGTACAAGAACGCCGAATATCTCAAACTCAGTACTCCATGAAACCAATGGATGTTTAAGACATACTGAAGATTGTTTCCGCAAATTCAGCAGAGGATGTGAAATTGTACCTAATTTGTTTCTCAACCTTCAGCTTTTCGGGTACAAACTCGACCAGACAATGTCAGTCATTGAAAACGTCAAACCTACGGTTTCATACGGCACTGTCTCCGCACAACGTTTTATACTGTACCAAAAAATGTCGTAGATTTATACCAAACTACCGTACCATAAACACTCAAGGGCCGGTAATAGGACACGTTTTGTTACTTCTCAAATGGAACCTATGCTGAATCTCCGTAAAAATGGATGAACGTATGAATACTTGAATAGACGTTGAAAAGTTTCAAGAATCCAGAAAACGCTGGCACTGCAGCGCTTGCCATCGTAATTATAAGACATTTACTCACCCCGCCCGTGATTTAGCACTTTTGAAACAAGGAATTTCGAGCTATTTGTGCGTATTATTTTGTACTATTTGTACTATTTTGTCATATTTCCAGATCCAATGGCAACTGACATCAGCTGACAGTAGCTCCGGCGAGCTCAGGGCTTCGGCTGGTGATATCGCGGGAAAGTAATGGTGCCGAAAAATGCAACTCACTCTAAATCAACTGTCACAGGATGTTGTTCGGTGAAGCTTAATGGCACTCTGTTTGTATGCCGTTACACCACAGAGATCTTAATAAAATTAAGTAATCGTCCACTGTGTTACTTTTTTCAAGAAGTGACAAACACTGGTTTGACTTGGAACAACTGGTTACCACTGAAAGTGTTCCAGATTTTTTCAATTAGTTCACGAATACGAGGGACGCATCGTGCCGAACTTAAGTACATTTCAGTTACGTAGAAAGATTCACCCATGCTCAGTTAGTCTGAGTGTGACAAAATGTTTGTTGTCAGGATTTCTGATGAAATACAAAACACCCAAACTATTTGTTTCCCTCAAATCAAAAGGAGCTAATTATACTTCTCTCTGGCAGTCTCTGGTTTGACCCTCGATCTGCATTCTCTGAATAAATGGACGCGTAATATACTCCAACAACTGTGGACGAACTTGCAGTTGAGGGCTTTTGACTACAGCAATAGCAACAATTACAGACTCACCGGGGGTTTCCGGCCATGACTTGTCGCTTTCACGGCGTGCTGAAATCCTGGATCGTTCAGAAAGTTCTCTTCTTCGAGTCTGCTATTATAATCGTCAAACCCGCCATATATATCATCTTTGTCATCCGCCAGCATGTCGTGTTTTGGTATCATTTTGGCGCGAAACGTTTGTTACTCATAGTTACAAACATTTAGTGCGAACAACAAATTTCAGATCACATTTGGCTCAATAGCTGTGTGCATGAAGAGGAAGACGGATGGTTATGCGTTCTAACAGGGTGGTGTTATTGACTCTTCACGCTTAGAGATCGACTGACCGAAAACGGAGTATCAACTTTTTATCACCGCAGTAATTTGTGTATATGACGTGACTGATTTTGTTAAGTGGGGCGTCATTTGGGTATGACACGCGTGCATTTAGCCCCTATCGAAAATTCGGGGTGTTACAGGTCAGATTCGATGAAATCTTTTGCTTGGGTTACTAACGTAAGTATGCGTGCTTCACTAGGTAAGGCCGGAGATCACCTGATAGTCAGTGAATGAGTGACAGTCAAACTTGGAGCTTTCACCAACTGACCGTATGTGAGGGCACTGAAAATGTGAGAACATGGGTCGAAAAAACAATAGAATATGAGTATTTATTCCTTTTTGAGAGGACGATGGAAACGTGTAAGAGGGTCGGCGATTCACGCAGATGTTTCTAATTTTATGGTTTGGCACAATGTCCAACAATTTCGGTGACATGAAATGACTCTGATGGAAGTTTGACGGGGCGGGCGGTCCGGCCTGACCCGAAAGGCATCGGAAGTTATTACTTCGGGAGAAGCAGCTAGAGGGTTAGTCGCGAAGCCCTGTGCGTCAGTCCGAACCATCTTGGCATATTGCCGACATGGGAGATACATTTCAATGAGGAAATCTCCGTACCAGGGAATTTCGGGCTTTTGCGCTTCGTGTCCGTTGTTTCTAGGGCTAGTGTTGTACCGAGGCTGAAAAATTTGGTTAAGGAAAAAGCCAGGGATATGTAGGACTCGTGGACCTATCATCTAATAGGAGGTCGTTATACGAGGGACAAGAGTTTATTCTGAGACATACATTTTGAATGATAATTAAGAGATGGTGAATTTTGGCACAGTGTTACGTACAAACTGATGGACGTCTTTATTAAGAGGATCCAATAATTAATTAGGACATTCAAAAATCGGGACAGTTTTAGAACCGTGCTAGGGGAGAGTGAGGGTTGGAGCGGAGCGGTGGATAAAATAGACCTTGAGGGGTCTTTTGAGAACAGTGTACTACATCATTTAAGATTCCATTTCTGTCTGTTGCCCCTTTTCATATCAACTAAGCATCTTGTGAGCGAACACCTCTGATGGGTACTGCATCATGGCTAATAATTGCCCAAAAATGTCTCGAGGACCCTCCTTGAAATTTTCCCCACTGAGTGGTCCTACGACTGGACCTCCTTGTTGGTTATCGAATCGGCTGAGTTCCCATTTTGTCAAAATGATTTCACACCCACTGGTGAACTGATGCACATTGAAGACATGGGGACCCATTTTTTGCCACCACTGCTGGCCTCTTGCATCGCTAGCTGAGCGTATTACCCACTCGTTAAGCAGAAGCACGTCTATATTCTTTCGCACGATTCCTGTCAGTACTACAGTGCCGTTTCATTGGTTATAAAATCTCATCCTGTCTGCCAAGTGAGTCGGTAGTTGTTTGCTTCTACCTATATCATTTACTGACCGGCTATCCGTCCTCTAGCCGTACCAAAGTTTATATTTCAGTGGAACTTCACTCCAAGCTAACCAAGAACTCTCCACACAACAGACTCCACTGAGTCCATTTGATTATACCCTGCTCACAATTTCCCAGTTTCGGAGGTAGCTGCTGTGAAAATCCAGTTTTATGGATATCCGTAAGCTTTCTCTGTACACTGATCTATGAATTGACCAAAAATATCTGCGATTCTGCGTCTCTCTGATGCCTCTTGTGCCGACCAAATGATTAACTCAGAGCCAGTTAGCTACGACGGCGCCTACCTTTTGTCGAAGCGCCCCAACGATTATCACCCTAAGGCTACATTCCAGAAAAATATGTATGTCGGTAAAACTATCGCATAGCAGTGTTATATCTAGCTTGGCATTGCATCAGCAAACATTTTCCTCAGACCCGTTTTCCTCGAATGCGAACAAACTGCTAATGTGAACCCAACCTTTACTGGGATGATTTCGCTGTGATCCTATGAACACTCCCTTCGAGTCTGACCACAATTTCAGCTTGTTTGCTACAACTTCGGTGGTTTCGACGGCGCGCGACCGGTCCAACGCACCCAGAAGCCTTTCACAGTGTACTCCTCTCCTATAAATCCAGGCTATCTGTCCGGTTTCGGTGTCCATAATAATTCTGAAACGCTTACCGCTACTCATCACTATTGCAAATTCTTCGACTTTGCCACCCCGATTTGGTCTTTACATAACTATGTCTAATAATTTAACTGTTCAGGGTCACACATTGTCAGAAAATATCTTCAGTTTAGTTTCGAAGCCGACGATTTTATCCCTGTGGTTCCCCTTTCTGGCGTCGTTACTCTGGAGTCTTGTTTTTTACTATTTACACCTGTCTGTCGCAAAATGAGAATTCACTCTTGGTCTGCCATACCCCCATTTTTGTGTTGTCGCCCGTCAGGTTCAAATAATATTGTTTTGACCGCGCTATAATTTGCATGCTCGACATATGAACGCACTTTTCATCATTCAGAGGAAGGTGCCAGTCCAACGACCACTGCTTGGCAGCGTCTACATCCATTTGGAGGGCACTGGCATTGGAACTCCAGGATTTCAAGTCGTCCGCAAAAAGTAAACATGGACTCGCAAGAACGTCTGGGAGGTCGTTGACGTAGATCAGAAACAGGAGTGGTCCCAAGAAGGAGCCTTGAGGAACTCCAATGGAGACCGGCGCTGGAGAGGAATAGGTCGAGCCTATTCTCACT